TATTTTTGATTACAGCTTGATTCCACACTGTATTTTTGGTACAAGTATGGAATTTTCAGCATGGATATCGGTAGCCCAAAATTCGCAGGCCGACCATAGATATCAGATACGGAGTGATCAGCCATGGGTTTCTGGAGTGATCGTTGGAAGAAAAGGCCAAGTCATTTACAAGGTCAAGGTTAGAGACCTTATTTGGGTCAGACATGCCAATCAAATAAGAAATGTACTAGTTGGTAAACAGCTGAGCGATTCCAAGTCTGCTGACGTCTGTCTGTCTGGATTCAACATAGAACTTGGCACCGAAGTGCAGCAGTTCGAGTTGCCACCTTCCAAATAGCACACAGAGGTAGACAAGAAGATGAGTGAAGAGAATCAATAGAGTTTGACAAGTATAAGAGTGAAACAGAATGGGTAATGGTAGAAAGAAATATGAAAGATTACAGAGACTGAATACATCTGCGCCATTGACAACGACTTTGAGCCATGTCACCTATTGTCTCCAGCCATTGATTCCTAGAGTCCCGAGGGCCCCAACCCGGAAGTCTTCATCTCCCTACCTGACTCAGTTTAACTGTCAAGGATTTCATGGATTGATGCCGTGTTTTAGTTTGGCCACCACTTACCCTTTTCCAACCTGAACCTATATCAGCTAGTAATGCCCGTCGGAGGAGGCGATGGTTAGGCATGCGCAGCACGTGACCTAGCCATCTTAGTCTATGTAACTTTATAGCCTCGTCGATTGAGTTTCCCTCTTTGCCCAACACTCTACGCCTAACGTCAACATTACTTACCTTGTGAAACCACCTAACGTGAGACAGGGATCGCAGACATCTATGATCGAAAGCAGTCAACATTTTCATGTCTTCAACTCGTATTGGCCATGTTTCAGAGCCATAGAGAAGGACGGAGCGAACTGATGAGCAGTACACACGTCCCTTGGTTGATAACTGGATGTCACGCCTACGCCAGAGATGGTGTAAGTCAGCGAAAGCAGCTCGAGCTTTTCGGATCCGTGCTGAGATTTCATCGCCAATCAATCCGTTGGTGCTAATACAACTTCCCAAATAGGTGAAGTGGTCAACATGTTCTATCACTTCACTCCCTATCACTAAGCTAGGAGTTGACGTAGTCCAGTCCTGTAGCAGCATCTTACATTTTGTAGGGGCGAATCGCATGCCAAACATACGAAGATTGCTGCTCAAGGTGTTCAGAAGACTCTGCATTTTGTCAGCATCTTCCCCTAACAGGACTATGTCATCTGCATATTCTAAGTCCATAAGACTATTCCCTGGTAACAAGTCGATTCCTGAGTCGTTAAGTTCAGTTAAGGATACTTCCATCAGCATATCTATGATGAAGTTAAACAGAAATGGGGAAAGTGGATATCCGTGTCGGACACCATTGGTTGTTACCAATTCAGATGACAATTCCCCATAAACCCTTACACCGCCGACGTACAATTTGAGCTATTGATAGATACGACAGATCCGAAAACGTCACATGGCCAAAATAGTCGAAACAAAGGCAAAGTGTCCCAGCAGTCAAGGAGATCACAATGACAACCAAGACCTACAAGTGATTCCGCGATACAAAAGCTATCGGTAGCCCTGTCTTAAAAGGGGAGGTGTTAGGAAGAGGCGAAACACATGCAATTATCAAGTTATTATCATGTCGTTGACATGCATTTGTTTCTGCTTTCTGATTGGACGCTTGCACAATTCCAAACTCTCAACCGGATTGGTTGATTTCCAGTCTACCTTATTTTTGTATAAATACAGTCACTTTTGTCATAAATAAAGGATTCTGGTTTTACCGCTGATTATCGCGTGTTCTGCTTTACCAGTTAAGTGGGCACTGGTCAGTAGTTGAGCAGTTACCTCGAGACAAAGATCCAGTGTCATAACATTTTTGTATTTCCGAGTGGATGAAAAAGACGATAATTTTTTTTACTGACGCTTCGCTAGTTAATGCTAATAGCTTTATCAATAGTACTTCTGTTATGATATCAAAATAAAGTTTATTAAATTGATCATCGTTCCTCAGTCTGAGGTCATTTTTCGTTGTCAAGTTGGTCAGTTGGTAAAGATAACAAAACCAAGTGTAAATTGTTTGATTTGATCAGTGTGTATTTTAGAAGCAGTGTGTGTTTGCACAGTGAACTTGCTTATCACATTCATGTTGATTTTGTCACTTCATGAGGGAGGGAGGTGTTGTAACCAGGTCAGATTCTGTTTTAGTCCATCATTCCTATTGAGACAATTTGGATGCCACTTGATATGAAGAGTTTTTGATATTAGGCGCTCTTTGTGATTTCTGAAGCTCCTCTGAATTATTTCAATATTGTCAAAGTCGATTTTGTGGCCTGATTCTATAGCGTGTAGACCTATGGCTGATGATTTTTCAAGTTTTTCTAGTTCAACCGGATTTATTTCTCGGTGGTCGAAGAGATGCTCTACGGTGTTCATTTCTTCTGATTTTGATTTCTCGAGTTGTTGGCCCGATGTATATCGTATCACATTCGAAGCATTTTATTTTAAAGACACAATTAAATAGAGAATCTTTAGGGATTTGGTCTTTTATATGGACAAGGTTGCTTTGAAGTGTGTCTGATGTTTTGAAGAAAACTTTAATGTCGAGCTGATTAGGTATTCTTCTGATATCGTCTGACGTCTTTGCTCTATATGGAATGACGACTGTTGATGTCCATGTTTTCTGAAGGCGTTTTCGGCCATACTTAATGTCTGTGTTGATTTTGTTGATGAAGTTCCTTGGGTAGTTGTTTTGCTTGAGAGTTTCAGTAATATTTGATATTTCTTCTTTTTTTCTTTCTCATCCGTTATCAGAGAGTGTGCTCGTCTAAAAGGACTTGAAACAACTGAAATCTTTGCGCTGATGGGGTGTGATGATTTGAAGTCTAAATATTTATTGGAGTGGGTTTTCTTCCTGAATATGGATATACTAAAATGTCCATTTCCCTCCTCTTAACTAGGCAGTCTAGAAATGGTAGTTCACCGACGTCTGATTCTGCTTCCGAAGTAAACTGGATTCTGGGAGAAACAGTTTATTTTCTCCAGGAATGAACTGTATAGATCTCGTTTTAGCCCTACAAAAGTATCATCTACATATCTTAACCAGATTTTAGGAGTGAGTATGCTTGAAAAGATGTTATTTTCGAATTTATTCATGAAAAAGTCAGCAACTATTGGGGAGACTGGTGAAACCATAGCAACACCATTTGTCTGTCTATATAAACTCCGTTTAAATGTAAAATAATTACTTTCTAGACAGAATTTCAAGCTCTTAATTATTTCGCTGGTGTCCAGTGGACATCTTTGTAATAGCGTTGTATCTAATTCTAATAGTCTGGCAGTGATATCAAGACTTTCGGTAATAGGGATACTAGTATATAATGAGTTAATATCATAGCTTACCATAATGTCTTCTTTACCAATTTCTCAGTGTTCTCTTTGGGATTTGAAATCATATGAATTTCTTACAATATTTTGAGTGTCCTTTTGTAGTGGTTGTAGTATCGAGAGTAAGTATTTAGAAAGGTTGTATATCGGTGAGTTGGTGAAATCTATTACTGGTCTTAATGGAACTGTGGGTTTATGTATCTTTGGTTGACCGTAGGATCTCGAAAGTATGTAAGATTTTGGTTTTAGTGTGAATCATAGAGAATTTGGAATTTTGGGTTTCATTTCTTGAAGGAGTCTATTTGTATTTAGTTTCATTTTGTTGAATTCGGCGGATTTCTTCTTCTCTTCAATGATAAGCATGGTCCTTCAGATAAGTGTTCAATCGCCTTCTTTTCATAATCCGTTCTGTTCATTATCACAGTGATTTTTCCCTTGTCGGCTTGCGTTATAAAGATGCTTTTATCTTCAAATTTCTTAAGGCTTCATATTCTTCCTTGGTAAGATTAGATGGTATGTTTTGTTGTGTCATTAATATGTGTGATATCTTTTGACGAACAGATTGTGATTCTCAATTGGTGAATGGTTGTAGAGCAGGTTCGATCATAGGTGCTATTTCCTGGACCGATAATGGCTTTCCAGTGATATTCAACTTCAGACCTTTCTGTAGTAGTGAGATTTCACTCTCGGTTAGTATCTGACCTGGTTACAACACCTCCCTCCCTCATGAAGTGACAAAATAAACACGAATGTGATAAGCAAGTTCACTGTGTAAACACACACTGCTTCTAAAATTTTACACACTGATCAAATCCAACAATTTACAATTGGTTTTGTTATCTTTACCAACTGACCAACTTGACAACGAAAAATGACCTCAGACTGAGGAACGATGATCAAGTTAATAAACTTTATTTTGATATCATAGCAGACGTACTATTGTTACCTTTGTTATTCGGTTTAGTGATCTTCATTGTTATTTTGACTTTCAATATGTCCCTATAACTTGACCTAGGTCTATTTCCTCACCTCTTAACACTTTGTTATATATATGCTGAGATTTTCAAAATTCTGGTTTAATAATATTTTGATAAAGCTATTAGCATTGATTAGCGAAACGTCAGTAAAAAAAATAATCGTCTTTTTCATTCATTGGGAAATACAAAAACCCTAATTATAATCAATATCATATACCCAATGCCTAAAATATTTTCAAATTGTTAAAAGTGAACTTGGTTTGGATACATGTATTCAATAGTTGTTTCAGGCTTCAGGGGAAAGTCATTCTATTGGTTACCGCACTATTTATTCACACAATTTTTGTCATTCTCCCACAATCTACAGGGCTGTTTCCTTATGTTAGTCAGTATTGTAATCTAAGGATAGCTTCGGGTCTCGATAATCCCACGTGAATCATAATGAGAACGGCAAATAAATCCAGGTGTAAAATCCCTTTCACCTTGAATAATGATTTCTCTGAGTTTACTGAATTTTGTCTACGATATTAACTTGAAATTTGTCGTGAACTTTGACCATAAATCTTATGTATTAACAAAGGGATCGTTCTTTTAACGAGGAACTTACGCCATTATCGTCTCTTGCAATTTCAAGAATAGGTTTAAGCCAATCTATAAGACCTTTTCGCCACATTATTGTTCCTAAACCTTGAGCAATCATTGTCCCAGCTGAGCTGAATTTCTTGAGAAACTCTATGCAATAAATCAAATTATTATATCCTATAATTGAAAAGAAAAAGAAAATTTGCCTTCCTTTTTTGATCAAGAATCTAACACAGAATTTAAACATCATTTCTATCAAAAATGATGACTAGTTAGCTAGAGAGCTATTATAAATCAAGAAACCTTATTGCAACGGGAAAACTGTTTGGGAAATCCCTCCTGAGCGAATGAATGACAATTTTTTTCGAAGTGATTTTGGAATTGTGTGGGCGGTTGTTACTTCCCGGCTGCCCATACCGTGGAAGTTGATTGATTCATCGGGTACCTGAAACAGAAAGAGGGTTAGTGTTGCGTGACCACAGAGCCCAGGGAACAACTACTTGAGGCCAGTCACACACGGCCTGAATGAACTGGTTTCTTGGTTTGGTTCCGTATTAGTAAACTTACTACTGGCTACAGACCACCGAAGGGTAAGTTGAGATGTACAATTTTCGGCGTCGACCTTTTCTAACCTCCTCTTTCCGGAGTGGAGAGACAGTATAGCTGGCTGACATGCTGGTCATCTGAGGGAAACATCTCACTGCTGTTACATCCCTGTTCCCCAGCAGTACGACTTCGCCTACAGACCCCCAGCACAGTATTAGAAAGATTCTTACACAATGCCGGTGACTGCTTTTAGTCTAATCGCTATCCTAACAACCTTCCTGGCATGGTAGGACCTGCAGGAACATTGGTTCCAGCCAGTTTAACTTGTTGGGTCATCGCGAAACAATTTTTATGCTTATTTGAATGTTTCGACTAACTTTATAATCATTATCCGTTTTTTCTCACAGACTTTTTATCATTCTTCTGACATCTGCAATATCATCATATGTTGACTTGATCCTTATTATTTGCTCTTTCTCACTGTTTAATCTCTCATTTTAATGCTTCTTTTTGTCGTTGCGTGGATTTTAATAGTGTGATTTAGTTTGATTGATTCGAGATCATTCTGACCTTATACTGTCTGTATGATTCTTTTGGACAGAGTTTTTAATCCCACCTCATTGGAGATATTCTACTTGATTTTAAGGTACTTCTCATACTTGAATTTTGGTTAGCTAATTTTATTCTGCAGTACTTGTTTTGTACTTAGAAACATACACTGCCTGTACACAGCGACCTAACGATACTGTTGAGATAATTTTGAGTTTTTGATGATTATTGGAATAGAACGGCATAGATCTATCAATGAGTAATCGTCCTTTGGCTGTCTTTAAGCGTTTTGTGACTGTGCGTCTCTCAAGGAAATTTTGGGTTTGCTATACGGTAGGACGCAACGTTTGATTCCCTGATTCACACACAGAGTCGGTTTTGGTCGCTACACTTACTTAGGGGGCTCCTTTTAACAGTAAGCAGTTCATTAGAGAATTTTTAACCATAGAGCTAATCTTGAATAATAAGATGAATACTTTAAGGATAGTCAAAACTAACTAGCACTTTCCCCATATTGTGACAGAAAGAGTATAAGAATCGCATAATTAAAAAATTTGATAAACAACAAAGCATAATGATGATACAGGACTGAACTAGATACCTATTTCATCCTCGTTTGCCACTCTTCGCCAGTGTGCACCTATGAACCTGTTAGGTATCGAATCTAGGACTTTCAGGTCAGGTCAGGATTCCAGCTCGTTGGCCATTCGGCCACTATTTTGGTGGTTCAGTGATAGAATGCTCACCAACTACACGGGAGGTCTAGGCTCGATTCCTAGCCAACGTGCTTCTATGCCTCACCTAGTTTGCTGTTAGCAAGCAGTAAGCCTGGAAAAGAGGGGAGGTTGAGAGCATAAGGCAAGCACCACCATCTTTGCTGAAACTTAAAAGCCTGAAACTGTACGTCCCAATCGGAATGTATGGAATGAAACAAAAATTAGAGGGAAACTAACTTTCATCGTAAAATTTCAGTGTTTCATAACATTTGGGAAAAAACTTAGAACTTAAAGTTTGTGTTGACGATATTTTCAAAATACAAGGCATAAAAATAAACATTTGTAGAAACCTTTTTCTCAATCACAAAACAATTACATAATAATGATCATAAACAATACATTGTGTTAATACCACGTTATTACATGAACTAGTGTGAACTAGTTCGACACCCAGCAACATGTTTTATTTCATTATTCTAATATGTACAACATAATTCATCATTATGTCAAAGAAACGACGGATCGCCATCCACTAGCACACACTTACCTCAGGTTTCTCCCGCCAAATTTGAAAGTGAGTCCAACAAACAGTCGATAAAACTGTGTCTAATTCCAGTGTGAAAGGTAGACGCTTATAGGCTAGTGAAAATATCACTGGAAAGAAGAATTTTAAAAACAAAATTGCGAGTAAGAAGATGATTTATTTGTATAAATAAAAAACTTATTGGGGTATGAGTGATTGTAAATTTTTTTTAAAAAAAGCATTAAAAATTCCAATGACAACACAAATTATGGACATCTGAAAATTCTGTTATACACATGCTCTTTTACATTTCCAAGTTTGATCACAAAGCGACTTCAGTTGGAAAACCACTGAAAAATAGCGAGTACTGGACAGGTGTTTCGTTCAAGTCTAGGACTCTTAATTGGCAAGCACCCATGACTTCACCAAGGGTCGAATCTAGGATCTTCGGGTCATAAAGCGAGCTCACTGACCACTCACTTACTCGGACGACATCTAATGACTCAGTGAATCTTATTTCTGTCAATTCACAATATATAGGGTGACCGCCAACCAATGTAATCGATAAGTATTCTTCTTCACGCTCAACTTGGTAAACTGCACTGGTCATAATTTATCATTATTCGTAGAATACTAGTAATACTCAGTCATGAGTAGTGGCTGAGTGGTCAGCTAGCTGGGCCTCATAACCTGAAGATCCCTGTTATGATACCTAATGGGATCGTTAGTGCGCACTGCTGAAATGTCCCAAACCAGGAGCTCTAACTAGTGTTGGTTCCTGACTAGATTGACATTGAAATTATAATTTTATCCCGATTATTAATTAAGTTCTAGACAGATATTCCCCCAAAAAATTAATCGAGATTTGTCATTTTAAGAATCCATCTAGTCAAGAGTTGCGTTCGTAGTTTAATAGAAGAATGCTGCTCACCAGCCATGTGGGAGAAATACGGTTTCTGTTTTTATGTTTTCGGCATAGGACTTTGCGCCGATGTGCGGCAATTCAAGTCGCCACACTCCATGTAGCACGCGAAGCAAGAGAAGAAATGTAGAATAGAGACAGTAAACAAAGGCGTGAGACAAAGGAATAGTAATAACGAAGAACAATATATTTTCATTGGAAATCATAAGTGACAAGGAGCGGATGCATCTGCACCAGCCATTGAGAACGATTTTGAGCCATATCACTAACTGTTTCCAACCACTGGTTTTTACCGTCCCGAGGATCCCAACCAGGAAGTCTACATCTTCCTACGTGACTTAGACTAAATGCTGTGGATTTCATTGACTGGTGAAGCCATGTTTTGGTTTGACCACCGCTAGCTCTTTTCCAGCCTGACCCTATGTCCGCTAAAATTGCCCATCGAGAAAGGCGAATGCTAGGCGTGCATGAGTAACACATGTCCTAACCATCTCAGTCAATGTAATTTCACAGCCTCGTCGATTGATTTCACCTCCTTACCTAGAACTCGACCGACGCCTAACCTCAATATTTCTCACCTTATTATACCACTTCACACAGGAGATAGAGCGCAGGCACCTATGATCAAAGACAGTTAATCAAGCTTTTCATGTCTTCCACTCTCAATGGCCACGTCTCACAGCCATAAAGGAGGACAGAGCGAAATGATGAGCAGTACACCCGCTCTTTGGTCGATAGCCAGCCGGATATCACGTCTACGCCAGAGACAGAGTAGACTGGCATATGCGAAACTAGCCCTCTGTATCCGTGCGAAGATTTCGTCAGAGATTAACCCATTGGCGTTGGCTGATGGTACTTCTCAAATAAGCGAAGCGGTTAACGCGCTCTACCACTTCTCTTTCTATTTCCAAACTAGGAGTCAGTGTAGTCCAGTCCTGTAACATCATCTTGCATTAGGGGAGAGCGAATCACATACCAAACATTCGTGGATTGCAGCTCAAGGTGTTCAGAAGACTCTGCGTTTTGTCGGCGTCCTCGTCTGAAAGGACTATATCGTCTGCATATTCTAAGTCAACGAGATTATTCCCTGGTAGCAAGTTAATCCCAGAGTCACTGAAGTCAGTTAGGGTTAAGTCCATTAGTACATCCCTGATGAAATTGAATAGAAAAGGGGATAATGGGGTTCCCTGTCGGACACCACTAATCGTCCCCACTTCAGATGACAACTCGCCGTAAGCCCTCACCTGGCTGACTGAGTGAGTTCGAGTAGAGTGCCTTAATCAGTGGAATGTATTTTTCCGCCATTCCCTTTACAGACAAGCATCGCCAGAGTACCTCTCGGTCGGCAGAGTCGAATGCCGCCTTAAGGTCAAGAAATATAATGATTGTTGGGCGCCAATAGGAATGGCTATGTTCTAGAATCTGTCGTAGGGTGAAGATATGATCAATACACCCTCTTCCTGGTCTGAAGCCTGTATGGTTCTCTCGTGTTTGTGCCCCCCAAGAACCACTTGGTCTACACCATATTATTGAGCCTAGGACTTTGGATACTATATACCTCTGTGATTATCACAGGAAGACTTGTCTCCCTTCTTGTATGTGGGGATAGTCAGTGACTTGCACCAACCCGATGGGACTCCCTCTGATTCTCAGACGCTGCCTAGTACCTCAGTTAATGCAGACAGTAAACTGTCTCCGCCGTACTTAAATACCTCTGGAGTCATTCCATCAGGTCCTGCTGCTTTGCCTTGTTTCAGATAAGTGACAGCATTAGTAACCTTAGTTAGGGACGGAGGACCTGTGTCTGTATCTCATTCAGGGAGGTGTTGGATGTTCGGCAGGTTGATCGTGGCTGTAGGCCAATTAAACTGTTCCTCATAATGTTTTTTCCAGCGTTCCAGTCGTCTATCCTGACAGTTGA